GGCCTCTCTTGGGAGGGATCCCAGCTCATCTGTCAGACTCCAGCTACTACAAAGGCCAAGGGAGCCGTGCTCAAGAGAGCGCAGACTCCTCCTCCCGAAGTGCGCGTGCGTCCTCGGTTCTAGGCACATTCCGGAAACCCCGGCGCTCACACCTCCAGCAGGGAGCGGGGTGGCCCCCAGAAATGAGGAATGAGGCCTGGGCCCGTGTTTCCATGTCTTTACGACGATATATTCCACGCAGGAGAGAATGCCGATGACACCTGCCGTTCCGAGCCAGTCTCAGGTCACACGGTGATTTCCAGAACCGTGCGTTTTCCTGCGAGTGGCCTGGCTCTGCTCTCCTGTGGGGAGGGGCTCTCTCTGCGGCATTCTGGATGACGTTCTCTTTAGTCATCTGTCCTGGGCACCCAGGCTGATTGCACACTTGGGCTCCTGTGAGCAGAACTCTCTAAGCGCGGGGTGTGGGTGTCTAAGTGCTGACTTCAGTCCTAGGTATGCATACACGAGCCGATATCAAGATCCCAGCTACTTCTATTTTTAGCCTTTGCAGAGAGCTCCACGCGGATCTCCATAGCGGGAGGGCTACTCTACCTTCCTGCCCACACTGCACGCGCGTTCCTCTCCACCCCCATATCCTTGCCAACCAACAGTTGCTTGCTTTCTTGACGGCGGCAATTCTGAGTGGATAAAATAGATTGTCCGTGTGGTTGGGGCTTACATTTACCCAATGGATGAAGAGGCTGACCTTGTTTACTGTGGTTATTAAGCACTTGATTTCCTCTTTTGAGAACTGTCTGTTCAGATTTGTCCTGTTTTTGGTTGGTTGGGTACTTTGTTCTTTAGGTGTTTAATTTGATATATTCTGGATGCTGATCATTCATCTGATGAATCACTGGAAGATTTTCTCCTGCTCTCTTGATTCTGGTTGTTTATTTTTCTGTGCAGAAGCTTTTTTTTACTTTAATTTTTTATGGTTATTAGGATAGTGATATACAAAGGGGTTAAGGTTTCATGTCAGACAAGGAGTAATCCTTCCCTCGCTCTCCCCAGTCTCTCCCTCCCACTCCCCATCCACAAGTCTTATCGTGGGTTTTCAACAGTGTCCACTGCTGCATTTGTTCACCTTTTGTCCCTCCCCTTCTGTCCCCTCTTATCCTCCCAGAGATATATCAACAAACAGAACAAAAAGAAAAGAAAGCAAAAACAGCAAAAAAGAAAAAAAACATGCCTCATCTCCATTTCCTGGAGTTCATCCTGATATGTACACTTTGACCAAACGCACACAGCACTGAGGCTTTGTGTTCCTCTCCTGAAAGCGTCTTCCTTTGGTCTTTCTGTGTGCCCAGAGATCTGTATAACGTATGTCTCACGGTATTTGACATCAAGCTTCTGCCTATGAGAGAAACATGCCCCATTTGTCTCTCTGAGCTTGGCTTATCTCACCTAGCATGATTTATCTTAGGTTCATCCATTTCCTTGAAAATATCTTTTTTTTGGGGGGGGGTCCGGTAGTGGGTCCTGAACTCTGGGCCTGGGCGCTGTCCCTCAGCTCTTCAGCTCAAGGCTAGCGCTCTAGCACTTGAGCCACAGCGCCACTTCCGGCTTTTTTCTTATGTGGTGCTGAGGAATCGAACCCAGGGCCTTGAGCATGCAAGGCAAGCACTCTACCACTGAGCCACCTTCCCAGCCCACCCTTGAAGATACCTTGTTCTTTCTAATGGTAAAATTCCACTGTGTACAGGTACCGCGTTTTCAGAGCCACTCCTCTATTGTAGGACACCTGGGCTGTTTCTACAACTTAGCTGTTGTGAGTAGTGCGGCAGTGACCACCGATGTTGGAGTGTCTTGACGGTATCCTGGTTTGTGATGTTCTGATCTGAGTCGATGCCCAGGAATGGTATGGCTGGGTTGTAGGAAAGATCTATGTTTAGTTTTTGAGGAACCTCCAGACTGCTGTCCAGGATGATTACACTAGCTTGCATTTCCACCTACAGTGCAACAGGGCTCCTTTTCCCCACATCCCTGCCGACATTGGTTGTTCAAATTCACGGTGTTGGCCAATCTAACTGGGGTGAGGTGGAATCTCAGAGTCGTTTTGATTTGTATAGAAGCTTTTGGAGTTGATGCAATCCTAGTAGTTAATTCTGGCTCTTATTTCTTGAGCAGCTAGAATTCTAGTCAGAGAACAGTTGCCTATTCCTCTGTCCTCCAGGTTTCCCCGTGTCCACGGCTTTAACTGTTTTTAAGTCTTATATTAAGTCTTGGACCCATTGTGATGGATGGGAGGCTAGCTTTTGGTCTTCTGCATGTGACTATCCAGTGTTGCCAGCACCATTGGTTACGAGGCTGTCTTCCCTCAGTGTCTGTTTTTGGCTCATCCGTTGAGAATCAGGTGGCTCTAGCTGTGTGGGTTTGTTTCTGGGTCCTCCAGTCTTTTCTGCTGGTCTGTGTGTCTGCCTGGAAACCTGTGTATTCCACCAGCTCACCGCAGCTATGGCTGAGCAGGCCCCACGGGCGGAGGCCCAATCAGGGCTGGACAGAAAGAGTCAAAGAGGGAAAAATGAGGCCCCCCTAGTCTCTGGGTCCCATGGTCCCTCCACAATCTTCTCTGGCCTCATGATTAATGCCCCTTGGGTTAGGGCGGCCGAGCTGGTGTCTGTCACTTGTAATCAGAAAGCTCTAATGAGCATGGCTGCTACCTCTGAATCACAATGTTTGTTATGCTCAAGTGAGCAAGAAACTAGTGCCTACCCAGCAAGGAAAGGAAAACACCCGAGTAGGAGGCATGAGAGCCGAGTTCAGATCTTTCCCTGAGAATCCCCGTACCCTAGAGAACCACAGACCATGGGTGTCAGCTCAAGGTAACCATTCCCATGGACTGCTGGGGGGAAATCAACACCTACGGTCTTAACTCTGAAGTGGCCGAAGTGGCCTGGGTTTAGCATCTGAGTCCCTTCAACGTGCAAACCTGGTTCACACAGACACAGACACACACACACACACACACACACACCTACTGGTAGTGCGAATGATGAGAAACTGCAAATGTAACGTATGCAGAATGGATACCGAGTTTGCTAACTTTTCATACAGTATTTTGATTTTGCTCCAAAGCAAACAACCCGGGAACGGCACACTCTTCAGCTTCCCTCCTCGTTTGAACAGATGCGTGTTTGCTTGGCAAGCAGGCCCTCACGGGGAGCCGCGCGCAGGCCCGGTGTGGCTAGTGACGGTGTCGCTATGACGAAGAGGTCACAGTTGGTGACCTGGGGCTGGCCTGGGGGGGGGGGGACTCACCTTGGAGCACCTGTGGTTTGAAGAGTGTGGTGGTGTCAAACTGCCAGTCCCGAGCACCCTGGGGGGCGGGCAGGCGGGAGTACTTCGTGTAGGGAGGGACGCAGGCAGGGGCGGAGAGGTCTAGGGCAGGGGGATGGAGTCCGAGATGTAGGGTTGACTCTCTCCACCGCTGTCAGGGTGCTGAACCATCGGTTGGGAAAGATCATACTGGATCCGGGGGTGCTGGAGTTAGGGGATACGAGAAGAGTCCGCAAAATGAACTACCAGTGGGGAGGAGACACACTGCGGGGAGACGGGGTGGATGGCGGTAGGAAGCCATGGCAAGCGGCGTGGGTGACGCCATGCATCACCACCCTGCCATCACCCTGTCCCCGGGCGGCTTCCCCAGGCCCCTTGCAGGCTCTCGGTGCCGTGGGGAGCTCTGCTTCACCCCCAGGTCTCTCTCCTGACCGAAGGAACACGGCTCTGTGTGCTGCTGTGTTCCCAGTGTGGCGGACTCCATCATGAGCCAGGGAGGGAGTAGAGGGGATGGGGAATCAAGGAATGGCAGAAAGTGAGGGACAGATGGGTGTAGTATCTCTGGCAGGGGCAGGGAGGAGGAGGTGGGGCGGGGCCGAGGCCAGAGCCAGATGGAACTGGACCCAGAGGGGCTCCGCAGAGAGGATCTGTGCCCAGACACAGGGCGCACAGCTGGGGAAAGACCAGGACCCCCTGGGTAGCATCACAGAGAGATCGTTAAGAAGTGCTGACAAAGCCTCGGGAGCCCACGTCAGAGCCGTGGCCCCTGCCGGAGCCCACCATCATACCGCGTGGAACCGGACGGTCCTGACGCGGAGGGCAGGCCAGGGGCCCGGAGACGCCCCCGACCTCTTCTTACGAGATCGGCCTCATTCCAGCCTGGAAACGCCTCCCATCCCTCCCCCACCGCAGTGTGTCCCTCACGCCTGTGTCTCAGGACCTCCGGGGGCGGGGGGTGCCTGGCCTCAGCGGGAAGCCACAGACAGGATGCGGACTGGGGCTGGGTCCCTGGGCAGGGAGGACCAATGATTCAGGCGGCGTACGAGGGCCCGGACTGCTGGCCGCACCCTGAAAATCCCTGTTGGCTGGGCCGGGAGGACGATGGGTGCTGCGGGTGGGGTCCGGATACACACCCCACCGGGGGTGCACCCCGGGGAGACCGCAAACCCTCAGAAGTAGAAAGGAAGGAAGAGTGTCTCCTGGTGTGCGCGGACCACCACCATTTGTCCACGGCTCTTCCCTCTCCCCTCTCCCCTCTGCTGGGTGGAGAGACGCCTGCTCAGCCCCTTGCCAGCCAGCCCCCCCTCCTCCCCCTCCTCTGCACCTTCCTTCCCTGCTAGGCTTGGCAAGTCTGCGTTTGTTAGGTGTTTTCTCCCTCCTTTCCCCACGTCACAGGTCTTCTTTCCCGCTCCGGCCTGGCACCGTGCTCGGGGGAGCCCTGGGGCCATGGCTGGCTGGGCGGCAGATCCCCTCTGCAATCAGATGTCCAGAGAGCAGGCGGGCTGCAGGCGGGAGGAAGAGGAAGGCTGCTCTGTCATTTTCCTATCCCCCCCCCCCCCGGCCCTGCCTGAGACCCCTGGGTGACAGCTTGGGCTTTTTGTCTCTAACAGACACGGAAACGAGTTCAGCGCTCAGGAAGCTTGCCTGGGGTCACAGTTAAGTTGGTGCAGAGGTCCAGGGGTGTAGAGGCTGTACTGGAAGCTGTCCAGAGAGCATGCAGAGCATGCAGTGGCTGGAGAGCTAGGCTCTGCTCTCCGGGTGAGTCTGCCCTGTGGAGCAAACGGGGCTCAGAGAGCTCCTGGCGGAGGGTCAGCTCCGGGCGGAGGGTCTGTCATTTTCTGGGCTGCCTGGGGCCCAGGCTGAGCCTCCCATCTCACCCGGCCGGCTGTCCCTGGGACTTCTCTCAAAGGCAAGGCCCCACCTCTCTACCCTGCCGGTCTGCAGCCAGGACCAATGAGAGCCCAGGGCTCCGTCCGGATGACAAAGCACCCACGGTATTTAAGGGCAGCCGGGCCGGGCTGGGAGCTGCCCTGGTGTTCTCTCGGAGCAGGAGGTGCAGCGGGACTCGATGGCCATGTGCTACGGGAGGTGTGCCCGCTGCATCGGGCACTGTCTGGTGTGGCTGGCCGTGCTCTGCATGGTGGCAAACGTCCTGCTCTATTTCCCCAACGGGGAAACAAAGTACGCTGCGGAACACCACCTCAGCCGCTTCGTCTGGTTCTTCTCCGGCCTGGCTGGAGGGGGCTTGCTGGTAAGTGGCCGGGGGAGTTTGACAACCTGCAAAGTCTCTCTTCTTAATGAGCAGGTTCATGCTTTTCTGTGAAAAGAAACTTGCCTGTGATGTTTATTTCCAAAAACCTGGGATCTTTTGTTTGTTGTTTTGCAAGCAGATTGCCCAAAGGCTCTGTTGAACGTCCCATTAGTTTAATAATAAGTTGCTTCACAAAACCCTCTTTCAACTAGAAGCGATCTTTTTTTCTTCTTCTTCTCTTACTTAAACAGCAGGTTGAGGGGTGATGTAGTTTCTGGCGGGGGGGACGGGGGTGTCACTCAGCATGGGCTCTGGGGGTGGGAAGTTGGTGTGGGGCTCAGTTTTGGGTCCAACTTCTCTACTGTTAGCTCCAAGGTGTTGGTGACAGAGGAGAAATCCGAGGATGGAGCGAACTGCTATTTACTAAGTAGGGAGAACTCTTGCCTAGGGTATGGAGTCTGTGAAAGATCGCTGTTAGCAGGGTGGGAGCTGGGGGTGGAGTGTGTTGTTTTTTCCAAGGTTTGTTTTGAATCGAAGCAAGGGATCTGCCCGCCAATCCTGAGAGCCGAAGTCATCAGCTTCCGTGGAAAGAGTGTGGAGGAACTTGGGTTAGCTGGGGTGAAGCATTTTAAAAGAGAATTTGTATGCCGTCATTAATGCCATACAGACATTTTTTTTTCCCATGCTAAAGTAAGAGACGTCAAGACGTTTAAATCTAGTAGACGAATGAGGTGAGGTGAATCTGCGTTGAAATTAAACATCACTATTGTTAGGACAGACAGGACCATGGTAATGCCCTACTTAAGTCTGCACTTCAGTTTCTTTCGACCTTGAACTTCAGGTAATTCACACCAACTGATGAAGCACTGCAGTTAGGCTGGCTAAAACAAGTGCTGTGTAGCCCCAGGGAGAGGTGGATGGTACGTGTGTGTGTGTGTGTGTGTGTGTGTGTTGGTTCTGGGCTCAAACTCAGTACCTGGTTGCTATCCCTGAGCTCTTTCGGCTCGAGGCTTGCGCACTCTACCTCTTGAGCCACAGCTCCACTTCTGACTTCTTGTTGGTTAATTGGAGGTGAGAGTCTCACAGGTTTCCCTGCCCGGGCTGGCTTTGAACGGTGATCCTCAGATCTCAGCCTCCCGAGTAGCCAGGGTGACAGGCGTGAGCCACCCCGTGGGAGAGGACATTCAAGTCTGTGAGATTATCCAAGATTCTCTGGCGTGCTCCATGGGGGGAAAGATCCGAAGTAAGGCGGGGCTTCCCAGCTCAGAAGCAGAGTTCGCACCGGTGTCTGCTGTGAGCTGGTGAGGGACGGGCCCAGCCCTCATTGGGCCCGATCTCATCCTCCACCTCCTTTGATGGCAGAGGACGTAGTTGTTTCTCCTCTGCCCCCTGCATTCTCTGAGGTCCTCTGGGGCCGTGCTGTCAGAGATGCCTGTCTGCCCGTCTGCGTGGGGCTGCCCCCCTCAGCCCGGGCCGGAGGCGGAGGGGAGGACGGTGGCCACTCTGTCTCCTGGCAGGTGCTGCTCTCGGCGTCCGTGTTCATCGCGCAGGAGGAGGAGGACTGCTGCGGTGGCTGCGGTCAGGAAGACTGCGGCAAGAGCTGCAGGGTGCGTCCCGCTGTCCCGGGCAGGGCGGGCCGTGGCCATCCCGGACAGGCTTCGAGGACGTGGGCTCACCACCCCCCCAACCCCGTTTCCACAGACGCTCTCTTCCATTCTGGCCGCCCTCGTCGGCATCTTGGGATCCGGCTACTGCGTTGTCGTGGCCGCTCTGGGCCTGGCAGAGGGACCCTTGTGCATGGATTCCCGCGGCCAGTGGAACTACACCTTTGCGGACACGGACGGAGGGTAGGTCGCCGGGGTCTACCGGGCCCCACCTCCCTGGGGTTGGGTCTCCCGGGCCCGAGTGTCTCCAGGACAGGCCACCTAGGTCCCCGGACAGCTGGGGCCTGTCTGCAGAGCACGTGGCGGGGCAGCGCGCCCACCGGGCACACCTTCTACCAGAGCAAACCTGCCCCCCCCCACGCGCACACTCCTGTTATAGAGATCACGGGAGAGGTTCTGTTCACCGCTCTCACGCCAGGATCACTGAGGAGGTGATGTCTTAGGATGGTTTTTGCCTTTGTCAGTTACGGAGGAAGACACGGATGCCAGCGGTACACAGGCGGTGGGGGGGATCGCGCGGTCACAAGCAGGAATAGACGGGGGGGGGGGCGGAGAATCCTGTCCCGGCTCCCCTTTCAAAGCTGAGTTTCGAAGGGTGTTGTTTTGAGCGTAGTGAGGGAAAGTCACATCGGCTGTGAGCGGCGTTGCCCTGACGTTCAGGGTGGTGTCCGTGGCACAGTACACGTGGAGGACAGGGAGGTTGCGTGCGTGTGGGCCTACGGACGTGTTCTCCACCAGATCACAAGCTTGGGACGTGGTAGACCTGTGCTTCTCCGGGAACGGGAAAGCCCAACGAGGCCTCTCTGCGTCCGGATGCTTCATCTGGAGCAGGATGCCCAGGGGATGGTCCACGGGGGGGCCCCCACGGGCCTCACAGCCGCCACCCCCTTACACCCGGCCGAGTGCACCAATGGGCAGCTTTTCCAGGAAAAGCTTTGTGATGGAGACGATGATTCATCTTTGCTCAGAACCTAGTGTGCTGGTACACAGTGATGATTCACACGCACACACACACACACACACACACACAAACTGCCTCGTGAAATGGCCTCTAAAATAAGTTGTGATTTAGGCAGCTGGAATGCAGGCAGGGGAGGAGGCATTGTTCATCTATTTTTATAGCGGTTTTACGCCCCTCCCACCGAGCCCTCCAGCTTCCTGTTCTACATCATTCCTCATGTAAAACTGTCCAGGGAGTTCAAGATGGGGAGCGGCTACCAGTCCCCAAACATCAGCTAGCTGCCAAATAATCAAAGACAATTATTTTTTCAACTTGGTGGCCTGAAAAAAAATCCAGACTTTTATTCCCACCCATAAGCAGAGAGACTGAACCAGCAGGGTGGAATTTTTGTGTGCGTGTTTGTTTTAAATCAACGAATTGAATCTCCAGTTGGCTCGAGGAACCGTTTCCATGTTCGGGGTCTGGTTCCAAGCTCCTTTGTTCTCCCTGGGCAGGTGGAGGGAGCGATAAGAAAGGAGAGACACCAGACCTCTTTGTGGGGCTGAGTCAATCTCTGATTTTCCCACAAGATTGAGTCTTATTTCATTATGAATGCAAATGCCCAATTGGATAGTGAAGGCTGAAATTCCAGGAAAGTAACCCAAGGGGGAGGGTTTTCAGATATAAAGCACATCAGGTATGTGTCTATCTCCTAAGTCCAAGCTGCACCGGAGGCCGCCAGTGGGCTCTGTGACTGTGTGCGGCACAGCACAGGAGTGCAGAAGGGAAATAAACTAGCGGGGCCTGACCCTCCCACTTTCTAATGCAAATTAGCCCACGCCTTAAAAGCCAAACATCTCAGTGAAGAACCTGAGCATCTGAAGTCCCTAAACCTGGCAGAATTCGGATAATTTTTTTCCCCAAAAGGAAATAATAAATGGGAATTTTAATGAAATGATCCAACACAAAACCCTTACCTACAAATGTCTTATTGCTGAGAGATAATAAGTACGCAGCAGTCAGAGAGCAAAACTATTTTCTATACTTTAACAGGCATTTGTTTTTCCAGATCTAAGCGCGCGCACACACACACACTCACACACACACACCTCTTTAAACATGGCCGAAGTATAGCCCTTGTTTTTGCTTTAGTTGTTTACAGGAAATTCTGTGTCTTTTAAGAGAATACAGGCACCATCAGGGGTCCAACACTGTTTTCATGGTATGTTTTTCATCAGAGCTAGGTCTGAGCTGGACGTCCCCCTTTGTGGCTGGTTTGCTGTGGAAGCTCTAACAGACCAGCAGCAGTGCCGTCCCCCCAGCCCCCCCACCCCGGCCATGTATTTTTCTGGGTAAGAACTCCCTGGGCGTGCTTGTGTATATCAGGAGTTTCTGGCTCTGCTCTTAGGTACCTCCTGGACAGCTCCACCTGGTCCCGGTGCCAGGAACCTGAGCATGTCGTAGAGTGGAACGTCACCCTGTTCTCCCTCCTCCTGGCCCTCGGTGGAGTTGAATTCATCTTGTGCCTCATACAAGCCATCAATGGAGTGTTTGGAGGCCTCTGTGGGTACTGCTGCTCACGCCAGCAGGTAAGGGCGGGCAGAAAAGGCCGCCACCTGCTTCATTTCCTTCTTTCCATGGAAGGGAAACAGGCAAGCCACACACGCACAACCGCCGGCATGGTGCAAGTACCTGTAACTCAGCTACCAGGGAGGCCGAGACCAGAGGATCCTGGCTCAAGGCCTGGACCTTATCTCACAAACAAAAACTCAACAAAAACTGGGTCTGTGGTTCCCAAAGGCTCGGGAGGCAAAGCTAGGAAGATGGTGGTCAGAGGCCAGCCAGGCAGAAGCATGAGACTCCCATCTGAAAAATAACGAAGCAAAAATAAAAAAGGGCAGGGGGAGTAGCTCACGAGGTAGAGTGCCTGCCTCGAGTTCCAACACTGGAAAAGCAAAAACAAATAGGCCTCACTACTCGCGCTTGTTCCTGTGTTGTCTTTGTGGCAAGCTGTCCCTAGCACACGTGCTGGTCAGCAGGAAGCTTGCAGGGCACCTGCTCTGGTCCCAGAGACACACATGCGCGTCCAGACTTCCCCGTGATGTGTCACGTTCCTGACCCTGCCTGGGTCGTTGTGCTGAACCTGTTTTCCAGAAAAGACTCTGTGACTCAGAGTTCAGACCCCCGGCCCCAGGTTGTCACACCCTGAGTGGGTTCTTCCTAATAAGGAGTCCCCGATGACGTGCCCGGGCCGTAGACGAGCACCCACAGAGAGCCTTTCTCTATGAGAGAAAGCCAGGAAACACCTGCTTCCTGAGGATGCCGGTTAGGAGAGGACTACGCGTGTGTGGGGCGGGGAAAGCTCTAGCCCAGTGCCCTTCTGGGTGATGCGCACCCGAGTCCGTGGGGATCCCAACGCTGAATCGATGGGGGTCCCACAGGGGCCGCCGGAGGGAGGGGGCTCATCCTGTCTTCTTCCACAAAACAAGGTCAGGCCAACAGAAGCTTATTTAATTTAAAATCTCTAAACCACTTTCCCCTCTGAACTCTGGGTCTCCCTCTTAACTTTTCCTTTAAAAGGAGAGTTAAAAAACAAAACCCTCATGGAAAGTAAAAGTGCACCGTTGTGGCGGTAACTATGTGGAAATTTCCTACCGTTTTTGAAGGGAAGTTAAAATAAAAGCCTGGTTTTTCTTATCGGGCAAACGCAGGAAGATTAATGATTTCTTTTGGAGCCTGCCAAGTTTCCATGACAAAAGAAAGGGGGCCTCAGCACAGGGACATTTGGGGAGGGTGGAGATGCCCCCCCCGCCCCCTGACAGGGTGCGGGAGCCAGGAGTGCGGGGCAGGGCCGGGGTGCCGGGCAGGGCCGGGTGTGGGGGGCACTGGGTTGCTGAATGCAAACCTGTGCTCAGCCCTGCAGCTCCTACCAGGCAGCCGGGGCTTTGGTGCCGGAACGGAACGTTATGGGAACAGGCAGAAGCAAGGAGTAGATGAAGCCACCATGTGGTCTGCCCTGCAGGGCAGGGGCACCCTGGGGGCACCCCAAGCGGGGAAGGTGGCTTCACCTTGCTGGAAGACAGCAGCATCTTTCAGAAGGGCAGGAGGCTCTGGCAGGTCACATGCCATTGTGCAGATCACTGCCACTGAGCCACGCTGGTGGGAAAGCCTCCTGGCATGTTTTTCTAAACCCATAAGCTGAGAGCCCTGCACACACACACACACACACACACACACATACACACACACACACACACACATACACACACACACACAGAGCCAGCCCAGCCCCACTATCCCTGTTCCCTGAGCAGATTGTACTAGGGTGGACGGAGTGGGTTTGTTGAGGAGATTGGGGGGTGGTGGAGGGACGTTGTGTCTGGATGGCCCTCACCTGGGCTCATCACAGTTTATTTCTTGACAGAGATACGACTGCTAAGACAGAGCCGCCCCGCCGAACGCAGCTCCCTATATTTATATACCACTCGTACTACTGGGAAACTCTGTCCTCCACTTTCCCCTCTGCCTTTGTACAAGAATGAAGACTGGCGTCTCTATGAGATCTCAGTGTTTCAACGTCGCAAAGATGATGATGATGATGTTTTAAGGAATGAGAAAACATAAAAATGGTGCTCTGGAGATAGTTACCAACCGAACAGCCTCTGTGTACCAGGGAGAAACTAACTGTCGTCGTTAGGACGAAGTCCACTGCCCCACTGCTGTGTGTGCGCACGTGCTTTCTAAGTGAGAGGGGTCGGGTTGCTTTTCCTAAGCCCAGGCAGAGGAAGGCCACGACCGAGGCTGCGCATCCTCCGGCCTCCAGCAAGGGGCCTCCGCGGCCTCTCTGCTCTGAGAACACCCGAGGCTCGGCCTCCTCTGCACGAAAGCTCTTTGCCCTGCAAAGACAAAGGGCGTGTGCCACGAGAGGAGGACCAGGGCAGAGGACACGGAGGACCGGGAACACAGCCACGGGTCACCGATGTGGGCAGGGGAGGGGGGGGAGAGGGGGAGAGGCTCCCTCTCCCCCCAAGGCTGGCTTGTTGGAGACGAAATAAAACGTTCACTGCCACTCTGCTGGTGCTCGTGGTCGTGGGTCTTGGTGTAAGCTGCTGTTTCTCCCCGGCGTCTGCAGCCCTCTGTGGCTGGGGGTCCCCGCCCATCTTCTGTCTCTACCTTGCCTTCCCTGCCTTCCTCAACTCCTTCCTCTCCATCAGATTAGGCGAGCTGGGGATCTGTGGCTAGACACACAGCCTCAGACCCCAGGAGAGGCTGTGCGTGGAGGGCAAGGTCACAAGCCAACTCCCGTGACCACGCGTCAAGAGTTCAAGGTCCCCCTCACAGGGACACGTGAACTTTCCTAATGTTCGGAACAGATCACTGCTCCACGGGACGAGGTGGTCAGATTTCGCACTTGAAGGGAGCACGGGGCTGCGTGCACCTCAATCCGTAAACAGGAGGGCTCCCCGGATGCAGCAGTCCCCACTCCGTCCGGCCTGGTGCCAGTCCCACGCCTCTTCAGGCTGCAGGCCCACCCCGCTGAGGCCCGCCTCTGCCTGCTGGGCCGCCCACGCCCGCGGCCACCCGTACCCCCGCCCGTCGCTCAGGCTCAGGCCGACAGCGCTGGCCCTGCCTCCCACACCAGCCGGTGATGCCCCCGGGGATTTGAAGGCACAATCAAAGCAGCCGGCCGGCCGGGGATGGTGCCAGCCCGACTCCAGATCCTCCCTGGGCCAAAAGCCGTGGTCGGGCCGTGAGCCGTCGCTGATGCCCATGCTGCCTTTACAGGAACTGCTTCTTTTCCATGCAGTGGCAGGTACGGGACTGCCCGGCTGTGAGTGTGGGCCTGGTGCCCACATTCACCACCGCAGGGGTTGGGGGTTGGGGCTTGGGGCCCGTGGCCCCTCCCAGCCGCCTCCCACCACATGCAAGGCTACCGCGCCCACCAGAGCACGCTGCCCCAGTTCCACCTCCACGGGTCTCCTCCAGCCTCGTGGCAACTGCTCCCAGCATCTTGCTCTCCTGCAGGTCTGGTTTTTCTCACTGAACCCTGTGCTCACCTGAGAAATATCCCTAGACCGACTGCTGGCAGCCATGCGGGCGGCTCTGCCCACCTGGGGGCGGCTGGAGAAGGCGGGCGGGGGGAGGGGGCGGGGGGCTCTCTCCAGGGCTGGTGAGGAGTGGGGTAGAGCTGGCTGAGGAAGGTGTGGTACGTGGTGCTGGTGTTGTCCGCTGAGGAACAGACGGGTCCACTAATGAACGACGCAGTTCTTAGCCTGGGCAAGGCTCTTCCTGAAGGGCGGAAGAATAAGAGCCTGGCATCCGTGTGGCAGGAAGAGGGCTGGCCGGCCCAGATCGCCTGGTCACATCTAAATCCCTGTGGGTGGCCAGGTCCCTCTGGCTGGAAGTCTGACTTGGCTGCAGTGGTGTCTCTGCGTGCTCTGGCTCTGAAGCTCTTCCGACGATTCCGATGGGCCGCACGACCGTTCTCCAAGGGGCGCTTTCTAGAATCTCCTCTGGGGGTGTTCTGTGCCCCACGGTGGCTGTGGCTGTGGCCGTAGGCCTCTCTCCAGCCTGCCTGGCAGGAGGCACCCACAGACCGGTCACCAGGGGACCCCTGCGGCCCGGGTGCTTCTCAGACCCCGTCCACCCTCAGGCAGAGGTGGCTCTGCGGGGCCTGACTCCAGTCCTGCTGGAGGCCCGTGGGAGAGCTGCTGGACAATGCCCGTGCGTTCATGCTGGGCCCGCCATCTTCGCAGCTCAAGGACCTTCTGCAAACATTAACTCACTTGTTTGAAAACATCTGTGTTGTGGGGATGAGATCATGTTTACAAAACGCTTGGCGTTCCCAGAGTGAGAAGCCCGCATGGGTGGGGGGGAGGAGGGCAATCTGGGAGCTCTGAGGGGCTGGCTGCCTGCTGGGCACTCCAGTCCTCATGGGGAGGGCTCAGTGAGGCCCTGTGAGCCCAGCCCCGCCCCCCCATGCTCTAGTTGTGTTACCCTAAGCAAGTTCCTCAGCGTCTCTGTGTCGCTTTCCTCCTTTGTTTGGCCGGAGGAGATAAAGTGTCTGGATGAGGTAAGGTAGGTGAGAACGCTGCTCAGGGCGGGCACGTGGCGTCGGCCACGCTTAGGAGCTGACCAGCCCCATCTTGGGCTGACTCTTTAAGAGCCACTGGTGCAGTGGCTCTTAGATTAGACATGCACAGGAGGAAGCACAAGCCCGATGAAGAATCCAGGACGCGGGGCTGGGAAGGCAGCTCTGTGGTAGAGAGCTCACCTTGCATGCATGAGGCCCTGGGTTCGATTCCGCAGCACCACATAAGCAGAAAAAGCTGGAAGTGGCGCTGCGGCTCCAGCGGTAGAGTGCTCGCCTTGAGCTGAAGAGCTGAGGGACAGCGCCCAGGCCCGGAGTTCAGGCCCCACGACCAACAACAACAACAACAAATCCCGAAAGGCCCAGGGCACCAGCGGCTCACACCTGTAATCCCGGCTACTTAGGACCTCATCTCCACAGAGAAATCTCGGCATGGTGATACACACCTGCCATCCCGTTACAGCAGGAAGTGTACATAGGAGGATGACAGTCCAGGCTGGCAGTGGGGGAGGGGAGGGGGGAGGTGAGACCCTATCTCATAGCAGTGCAAAAAGGGTGTCAGTGTCAGGCCCGCGTTCCTCTACCCAGATCCTTGATGTGGGTACAGAGAAGAAAACTTGCCACCCAGTGCTCAGCCTCATGAAGAGGACGGACAGACGGGGGGTCTGAGGACAGGTTACTCGGTTCTGACTTGGAGCTTCTGGGAGGAAAGAGCTGGGGGTGAAGGGCAGCTACACTGGGGCTGCACATCAGGGGAGACATCGCCCCGGGAGGAGCCCAGGAAGCGTCTCCAGTGAAGCCTCGGGCCCTGAACAGCAACATCAGGTGACCACGAGGCGCAAGGATGGCGCTGGGCCCAGGGGACAGCCTGGGCCACTCACCGGAACCACGCGGCTGGCAGGCTGCTGGACTTCATTCTAGGCCAACGGCACGGAATGTTCTGGGTCTTACAGAGTCTGCTCACACAAGGAATGTAAGCGTGTCGGTCTGAGAGTGAGTGGCAGGCACCCCCCTAGCGGGGCGGGGGGGTAGGGGGCAGTGGTCAGCACATACATGAACAGCACCTACGTGAACACCACACCGCCTCTCGCTCTGGGGTGATCTGCGGCACGCGGGGCAGAGCAGCAGCTCTGAGGGAAAGCACGTGAGAGCGCAAGCCCCTGAGTCCAAACCCCTCCCTCCCCCGGCCCCGGGACGGGCGCTAGACAAAGAAACAAGTCTAACAGTCTCTGGGTAGAAGAAAGATGAGGTGAGCTCACAGGGACTGTTTAGAACAAGGGCTGGCAGTCCTGCGTTGGTGGGGTGGGGTCCGTGGGGGAGGGTGCCTCTGCCCCGAGATCCTGTTTGTGCTGTCTGACTGCACCCGGCCTGCTCTCCTGCACCTCCAGCTTCTGCTGGGGGGGAGGGGGCTGTGGACTCCCTGGGATTCCAGAACCAGAAGCCACGGAAACACCCTTCCTTGCAACCATCTAGCTGTGACTGCAACAGAGCTGGGGCAGTGGAGCCTCTCCATGTCCTTCCTCTGCAGTCCACAGACCACAGTGACCAGCACGTCTCTCTCCTATCTGGGCCCCGCCAGCCGGGCCCCTAGGCACGGACACGGGGGTGGGGGGAGAGGGGGAGCGCAGGGGGGGGTGCTGCCTGTCAGCCTAGAATGTGCCATGTCATCTTTCTGCTTCCCTCGCCAGCCGGAGGTGCAGAGCTCAGCCAGCAGGGGGCAGTACAGGGCCTCCGGAGGGAGCCCGCGTCTGGATCTTTCTCTGGTGAAGCTGGCCTGGCTGGTGGGAGATCCCCCCCCAGATGGTGGAAACACCCCGATGGTTTCCCTCTGCCCTGCATGCACCTCCCCTGGCCCTCAAGTTCCACAGCATAGCCCCCTGGGGCACTCCCTTGAGAAAAAAGTTCCTGGGACCCTGTGGGACCCTTCGCCACGCTCCGGCTCTGTCCTTCCAGGCTGCTTGGGAAGGCCCGGGCTTTCCACTGTGAGTTCTGGGGGGGGGGGTCACACCCAGGCACAGGGGAAGGGGGTCACACCCAGGCACTCTTCCTCCCTGACCATCTCTTGTGTCAGGGAAGTGGCAGCAAGTGAGCTCCAGTGCAGAGGGCCTTCCCATTTCCTCCTCCTCCTCCTCCTCCACCTCCTCCTCCTCGCTTACCTCACGCCTTTCGGAGCAAGTGCTCCTACATTCTAGAACTCCTGCGCCTCCCCGTCAGTGCCCCAAATTAACAAGGCCACCCCAACACTGTCTGGATTCCTGCTGGCATGGCGGTCTCTCAAACAAGGCCCGGCCGAGCTCCCTGGACGGCACTGGCCCCTTGAGCCTGCCATGGTCCCTCGGCTGTCTCCTCAATTGGAGATCCCACCAAGCGCTGCCCCCGGGGCTGCACGGCCCTCACCGGCTGGAGGCGAGCGCACCGGAGACTGGACATCCCGTGCTGTGGGCGGCTGTCAGACACGTTTGCTTCCTCGACTAGGTACAAGTGTGGAGTGTTGAGACTTCTGGGTACAGTCCCTCAGTGCTTGCCCGGAGAAGTCTGAATTAACAAATGGCCTCTCTAGACCACAAGGGCTGGGTGGCCAGGAATGAACAGAGAGGTTGTTCCAGCCATTTAAGGAGCACGCTAGGGGTCGAGGTCGGGGGTTCTGAATAGGCCTGTGTAGGCCTACAGATTGGTTCTACAGATCAATACGGCAGACGTTAGAGAGAAACCTACCCTCTCCCAGCCTTTGGGGACAGGAGATAAACACAAAACACAAAACTCAGGAAGATCGCAGTGTTCGTGTTTGCACAGCTGTGGGCCGCTGCTGCCCAGTGCACTTTTAGGCAAACACTGCCTCCCATGGGGTCCCCAGCCTCGTCCTGACCAGGACTCTGTGTCCTTGGCCGGGGCGGGGGTGGACGGGAGCGGTAAGTTCATCTGCCTTGAGCTTTCAGGGGAAGTTCTCTCCTAAGACGCTCTTCTGCGGCTCTCTTTTTTTAAATCTTTGCAGCCGCTGCTTTTTTGATGAACGTATTTCGGATTCTTCCTCCTTCCCCGCAGCCCTGGGGCTGGCGCTGGGTGGCAGATGGGCTGGGGGCCGTACACCGAGGCTCTTTTAGGTGGTGCTCTCCCTGTTTCTGGCTGGCACCGCGCCTGGCAGCATGTATCCTGCGGAGTTCCCGCCTGGGCCTCTGGAGAACAGGAAGGCGGGAAGCCCCGTGGCACGTTGCTGTCCTCTGGGGGACGCCGGGCCCACTGCGGGGACACGGCGCTCAGGATGTCCTCCTTGGTCAGGTTCGGGCTACTTTCTTAGGAGTGAGATGAAGCAAATGTTTGTGTTCTCTGGAAAGAGCTTCATTCCATAGTTTTACGAAGGAGATGACCAAAGGTGAAGAAACTGTCCACTGCTCTTTCCTCAACTTTCATCCCAGGTCATGGCTGGTTATCCTCTCTTCCTTTGCCGCTGTGGCTTTGCTGGAAGTCTTCCAAATGGAAGCTGGTCATCCATTATGCCCCCCCCCCCCACAGCAGGCTCCATCACTACGCAGCTGTGGTATAAAACCAGCGTTGAGGACCCGCCTAGACTGGGGGGAGGAGCTGCCACGCACAGCCCTTCCCCAACCCCATTCCCACTTGACCATCCAGGTAATCGCTCTGGCCCCAAATCCCCACCCTGAACCTCCCCCAGGCAGCCAGAATGCCTGCGAGAGGGCCCTGAACACGCCATGTCACGCCACATCACGCCACGCCACACCACGAGCTCACCCTCTCCCGCTCAGAGTTACTGGCCGTGGTTTTGCTGAAACAAGTCCTTGCTAGAAGCGAAAGAACACAAAGGTGGTACGTACAGAGTGTTATGTCATTTGCCAGGAAACGGAAGGATGCTAGCCGAATAAGGCAGACTCACAAAGACAAATGCCTGTGATTTCTTTCACCTGCAGAAACTAGACCTAACAACAACAACAACAAGAGCAGAAATGTCACCCGGAGGTGCCAGGAGGAGCGGGGCGGGGAGGGGGGCTGCCATTTCTGCTCCTCCTGTCTGTCTGCGCTTTTCTCTCTGTGTCTTCAACACCCTCTCTCCACTTCCTGTTTCTCTGGGGAAGCAGAAGTTACCAGAAGGCCCCACTGGACAGACCCTTCTGTGTGTTCCCTTCAGCCGCTAGTGCTGCCTGGCTCCTGGCATTGCATGAGCACCCAGCCCCTCACGGGCCCCCTGGACCGTCCACCCCGGCCCCAGCGGCACACAGATACAACATCCCGTCCAACTCCCTGCGCATTTTCCTTGGCCTCTACCTGCTTTCCCAAGTAATTAGCATTACAAGTGTGAGCCACTGCGCCCGCCTTCCAGTTATTCTTATAAAAATGTTATTCTCTTGAATGGAAAGCATGTATCTTGGATATTAATTGGAAGGCGGTAACACATGAAATGTGGATATTTCTGGGATCAAGACTTTCAGAGTTCATGATACTCCAGTTGTTTGGGCGCAGGCCAGAACAGACTCCGGGTCCCTGCGGAAAGGTTAGGAAAGAGACTGGGACACAGTCTCCCAGTCCTGCTCTGAACGTTGTTTGCTAATTGCAAAACAGAAAGGGCAGCCGTGTGGGCCCAGATCTGAAGGACACCCTGAACTGGGGCAGGGACCAAGGTCACCTGGCCTGCCCTGTGCTGCTCCCTGTGCCCGTCTGCCCAGGCACGGCGCTCGCAGACCCAACGCAGCTATTCCCCGCCACCCCCCTCCGCCCAGGACTGTGAGGATGAACGCCCAGGCTAAGACCTGGTAAGATGCCGGCTTCACGAACGCAAAGCAGAGGCCGAGGCTCGCCACTGCTTAGAGAATGGCCCTTCCCAGGGAGGGCTTTGGGTGGGTTGATCCCGACACCAAAATTACAGAACAAAAGGGGAAAATGTAGGGAACTGCCTAGTTTCCTCTCTGCAATGGCAACCAACATGTCATTCTAAAGATGCACTCGAAGAGCCAGCCAGCTCTCTTGTCTCACGCCCGTAACCCCACCTACACAGGAGGCAGAGATCCGGAGGGTGACGGCTGGAGGCTAGCCCAGACGAAAGTTAGTGAGATTCACCAGGTGTGTTCCAAGCTACACAGGAGGTACAGGATCAATGCTGGGGGCCAGCCCCCCACAAGACAAAGGCCTGGCGGTGTGGCTCAAGTACTTGCCTAGCAAACAAAGGTCCCCGAGTTCAAATCCCAGTGAAGATGGGCATGGGTTGTTTTCCCTGTGGTGTGTGGTGTGACCCAGGCTGAGGTGGGCGTGGACGGCTGGGAGAAGGAAGTGTCCGGCCGGGGCTAGGCCCTGACCCCTTCTGTGTCCCTCTAGACCCTGCTGTCCGTCATCTTTGCGGCCCTCGGGGCGGCCTCCTCTGGGTACTGCCTGGTATTCTTGGCCGTGGGACTTGTCCAGGGCCCGTACTGCCGCACCCACGGAGGCTGGGGCTACACCCTGGAGGACACCACAGGGCGGTAAGGGCCCCGCCAGCCTGGAGACCCTGGCTGGGGAGGGGGTCTGCACAGAGTCTCTGTCCCGTAGGAAGCGTCCGGGCCCGTGGGCAGGGCCGACTCAGCCACGGGCAGCCCTGGTGGGTCTTGGCCTGCTTTTGAGATGGGAAGAGTCGAATTCCCACCCCGGAGCCCCTTCCCTGGCTCCAGCTCTGCCTCCACCTCCTAAACCTCCAACTCCGAGGAGCCCGGGGCTCGGCCATCCGGCCGTCCAGCTTATCCGTGTCAGGGTTCAAGGACTTGGGGACACAGCCAGGATGTTTCCAGCAGACTTTGCCATGGTGGGGTTGTCCGTGCGGGACAGGCCACCTCCCTCCCTGACAAGGCAGGACTCCGGCACCGGCATGTCCTACCAACGTCCTGACCCACGCCACCTTCACTACCATCGAGCCCTGTCTGTCTTGCCAGCAGTGTGTCCAGGCTGTCTGTGATCGCAGCGCTTAGTGCGTCTACGTTCCCGCATTAGTGGCCTTTTCCCATTCCCCTCCTCCTTGTAACCTGGACTAATTTCCCAAGTATCCCTCCAGATCAAGCACGGGGCCTTGTTGCTGACCCCCCCCACCCCCCATTCCCTCTCTCCCCCCCCCCAGCCTCAGTTTCCTTACAGACTCCAGTGAGCGGGGCCCGTGTCTGGAACCTGCACACGTGGTGGAGTGGAACATCGTCTTGTTCTGCACCCTCATCGGCCTCAGCGGGCTTCAAGTCATCGTGTGCCTCGTCCGGGTGGCCGTCCAGTTGTCCAGGGTGCTGTGCGGAGCCTACGCCGTCATGGTCCAGGTAACAGAGCTGCCCCGCCTCCCAGAGCCGCAGCTCGGCTCTTCCGGTCTTCTCGGGCAGCTGCAAACATGTCCTTGTGCATCCCGGCAGCTCAGGCCTCGTAAAACCCCACTCCTCATCTCATAAGGGGCAAATGGCATTGAGGGTTCTGACTGCACGCCATCCTACTGTAGATTAACCTGGAGCCAGAAAAATGTTCCTTTTCCTCAGGGATTTCTGCATTTGCTAGATCATCAAAGGCTTGGCACTTTCTCTCGCTGAAACAAATTTGCCTTCTGATGCCGCTACATTTTACAACGAGCTCCTCTTTATGCGTTTCCGCCAGGGGTTTGACAAGGAGGGGGAAGATGCCTTTACTTCAGCTTCTGTGAAAATGCCAACTTCACTGTCGTTAATTCAGTGACAGCTAAAACCGCTGAACTTCTTTAGGAACTGTGAGGAGAAACACCACGGAGACATCTTGTCTTTTAAGGATATTCAAAGTACCACACATAGTATCAAAGGACTTTCAAATGGAGCTTCTGTGCTGAATATAAAATACAAACTTAAGTTGTTATCTACATTTGGATCATTACACAGGCTGCAATTACAACATGCTTACATGGCTTTCTTTTTCTTTCTTCTTTCTTCCATAGCCTGGAATAATTTGAGTAAAGACAAGAATGCGTTGCGTTTTCAAGACACGGCTGTTGAAGTCGGAACCACTGTTGAAACTTGAGGACAATGTTTAAATAATGATTTGTGCCTGCTGGAATCAAAAGTTGTCACTGGAAATGTCAACTTTACTACCTTTTCCTGTAGAATTGTTTCAAGCACATACCAGGAATGACTTCAGATGTGTGTAGGCCCTTTGACCGGGCCAAGCTGCTCCCAGGAACCTCCAGAGTGTGCGAAGGGTGGAGGTGTGGCCCAGGCGGTGAGGTACCTGCCTATCAGGGGCAGGTCCGAGTTCAAACCCCAGAACCGCCAAAAAAAAAAAAAATGTGAGAGATCGATTGTATGCCAATATGTATACTGCAGCATTGCGTGGCATTCTGGAAAATTCGAGTGATTCCTGAAGTCTAACTCCAGGTGAAGGATTACATGTAGCGAATAACTGAAGTGTAAAATTATACGATATCTCGGATATTAGTACTACAGCAAAAGCACATGACAAATTAGAATCTGGAGCTAGGAATGGTGGCTCACGCCTGTAAACCTAGCTACTCAGGAGGATGAGATTGAGGACTGGGGTTCAAAGCCAGCCCGAGGCAGGAGACTCCTATCTCCAATAAACCACTCAGAAAAAGCCAGAAGTGGCGCTGTGGCTCAAGTGGTAAAGTGCTAGCCTTGAGCCAAAGAAGCTCAGGGACAGCGTCCAGGCCCAGCGTTCAAGCTCTAGGATTGCCCCCCAAAAAATTATTAGAATCTGGACTTCCTGGCTTTGTGTCCCTGACCCAGGTCCATGCCAGGATCTGCTGAGTTGGGGCCCAGGGCCTGGCGTGACCTGGGAAATCCCCCCTTTCCGAGAAATCACTCCTCATTGGTCACAAACCGGCTGGCAGAGGAGGGCCGGGCAGGGCTCGTGCTGGCCATGACGGTGCCAGGGGCTCATGACTACAGCTGTGTGCCCAGTCACATGCTCAGACGAAATTCCAGAGTTGCACAATGCCCTGTGGGAAAGGGCTCCTGGCGGCCTGACCCCCCAGGCAAGCTTAGACCTTGCTGCTAGAGAAATAGGTGGACAGCCTACTTCTGGGGACCGGCGGGGACTGCAGGCAGAGTGATGGCGTCATGCTCTTCCCTACCAGACAGAACAAATCAGCTTGGCTTCTGGACTGCTAAATGCTGACAGCATTCACCTTATCCAGAAAGCAAGAAGAGGAGGAGGGAGAGAGGAAGAGGAGCATGCGGAGGGGGCGAGATGGAGACAGAGACTAATAAATAGCAGAACCTGATAAAAACGTGTGCTGTACTGGTCTCCTCAGACCACCAAGCAGGCAGCTTGGATCTAACAGTGCTTATTTATAACGTATTACAAAGCCACACCCTTTGACAGTACTGGGGTTTGAGCTTGGGGCTTCACACTTGCTAGGCAGGTGCTCTACCCCGGAGCCAGGCCTCCAGCCCCTTTGTCCTGGCTCTTTCTGAGATAAGGCCAGTGGGTCTGGACAGGGCCTTGGCCACTCCAGCCGTCTGTGTCCTGGAGAGCAGTGGCTCAGATGGAGGCTCACGCGCCTGGATGTTGCGGGACAGTTTTTTGAATCAGCTAGGGTTGGGGTGTGTGGGGCTGTAGAGGACCAGCCGGCACGCGCAGGCCAGGACCACCGCCCGCACCTGCCTCACACACTCAGTCCATGGCCGGCTCCTCCCCTGGGTCTGGACAGGGCCTCTGAGGGGGCATTTCACACAGGAGCGCCTGCCCCAGGGTACTGACGCCATGGAGTCCACCTCCCTCCCGCTACTTTCCTGGCCCCCGGTGATTCTACCCTGGGTTACCTTTCTCTGCCAGCCCTGATTGCTGGCACTGGGTGCTTTATGTTCAGCTGCATGTTGCCGTTCCTCCAGGTATACTGTACGCGCAGTGAGGTGCAGTGACTCGTACCCCACCCTGTGTCCCTCCCCATATCCTCCTGCTGTGACCCCTGCTACATCTGCCGTGACCCCAGTCAAGTCCCCCACCATGTCCCCCGCTGCTTCAAATGGATGTGGACACACCGTGGGGCTGATTCCACAGTTTTGCTAGAGGAGGGAGCTCTCTAAATGCCACACGCCTTCTCCCATACTGGTCGATTTCAATAGCAGCCTCTAGCAGGTTCATGTACTTTAAGACATCCTAGATTAAAAGAAATGTATTTACTGTGTTAACACAAAAGGTCTACAGTTACATCAGTAGAACAAAGCATAGAACTACCCTGGGACCAGCCATACCAGTCTTGGGCATCTATCTAAACTGTTACAAGTCAGGATATGGTAAAAAAAAACAAAAAACCACTCGCACAACCATGTTTATTGCTGTACTATTCACCATAACCAAGGTATAAAACAGCTCACATGCTCCTCCATGGATGAACGGGTCAAGAAAATGTGGTATATATACACGATGAAATTCTACTCACTCATTACAAAGAATGATGTTACACCATTTGCAAAGAGATGGATGGAGAAATTTTCTTTCTTGTGTTCATGTGTAATCTAAATTATACGTGTATATAAAGACATATACAGGGTCATATGCACATATGCACAAGCAGACTGACTCAAGTATGGTATGTGCAGGGCAGCTTCCAATCGTCCAACCCCTCTGAACAATTAATTTACAGATTAACCAAATGAATACCAGGACACTGGAACTTGCTGTGTCAGGAGGTAGGAAGGGGAGGAAGGCGGAGGGATGGAGAGAGGAAGGGTGGGTGAGTACAGCCATAATAGGCAGAGTACCTGGGTGGAAATGGAACCGGGCACCTTGAGGGGGCCGGGTGGGGTTGTGATAAGGGAGGGAGAATGACAGGAGGGTGATATTGATCAAGATGCAGTATATCCCTCCCCCCTTTTTTTTAAACAACTTCTTAAAGATAATTTTTAAAAAGGGGAAAGTTGCAGTTAAGCTTGAAGCTACTGCGACATTAGGCTTTCACAAACAGAGCCGTGTGCTCTGGTCCCTTTTACATAATCCTCATCCTGGCGTTATTAACAGGCGTGCAGGGCAGGCAGCCACTTCCTCTCGCTGGGGCACAAAGGGGGCATTTAAAGGTGTCCTCTGCCCGCCTGGAATTTCCATGGAGAATGGGAGGACGCAGAGGTATGCTCGCTCTGGCCAACAATAACTGTACTTTTTATTTGCAGAGAGGCTTGGCAACCATGCACTGTCTTTTCCCTCCCCGGGTTTACGAGAACCAAACCGAACTGGAAAATGTTATTTGCTTTAATGAAATGATTTACTCTTGTGCAATATCAAACTGTGTCAATCAAGCAAATAAAGGAAGAAAGCCTTGTTTATAAACACCCCTGCTTCTGATTTCACTTTATTGCTTCTCAGGCTCCAATGCTCCAAGAGGGGGAAAATGAAGCTTTGGATGCTTGGCGTTTTTCTGTTTTTATCTAATTCTCCAGCCTGGACGAAAGATAGGCACTACTACATTGGAATTGTGGAGACGACTTGGAACTATGCCTCTGACAGCGGGGAGAGGACGCTTATTTCGGTTGACAAGTAAGTTGCTCTTTCTGTGGCTCATAGGCCAAAGTTATCAACTGAAAAAAAAATATAAAGGCAACTGGATGCACTATTTCCTCAAGTTGACACAGGGCTTGAAAACAAGCTCTGCTCATAGGTCTCCTGTTCTAGGTCCTCTTCATTGGGGAGCAGTCCACTCTGGAAGCTGTGGCCCTGGCTGGTATCCTCAGCTCATTTCTGTTTCACTCAGAAGTGTCTGGTGTGTGTGTGTGTGTGGTGTGTGTGTATTACATCTATGACAATACTTACTACTTATTCATGACGGGGGTACAATATTTGTACCTTTTCATCTTTTAAAGCCTCTTTTCTACTTGCAGCCACTCTGCTTGGCCCTCACCTGAGTGTCTGGAGCGTGGGCTGGAGGGATGAGCTCACGGCGTGGGCTTGTTTGACACGTGCAAGTGTGCAAAGCTGTTCTGAGTGCTCGCCCTGTGTGGTGCATCCCCTGTGGGCCGAGCACAGCTCACGCTAGGTACTCGCAACGGCCGAGGAAATTTCTGTCTCTACTTCCAGCAGGCTGACAAAAAGCACAGCTGCCCGAGGCCTTTCAGTAGACAGAGGTCATCTCTTGTATTAATGGTTACTACATATTTACCACCAAATAGAAACTGGCATTCAAAAGCAACCTTCCCTGTATTAGCCAAGTATTTTAGCAGTCATAAACACAAGTGAGTCTGACCACAAGAAGCTGCCAAGATTGTATCTTATACACACACATGCCATGTTTCTTAACTACTGACTCTACTACTGTGTATCTTACACACACACACACACACACACACACACACACACCATGTTTCCTAACTGTTGACTCTTACTAATTGGTGCATTCTATTCTGTTTCACTACAAAATAGCTAAAAGTTGTCTTTTGATTTTCTATTTGGTAGTATTGGGGATTAAACTATTAAATTTTTTCACAGTAAAAGATGTATAGTTGATAATAATAGTCAACTGTTACATTATTGTAGTAATATGCAGTGAGGGAAATTTCTGACCTAAAGATAACTGGTTTTAAAGTGGTTATTACTGGTTATAAATAGTTACAAAGTGTTTTGTAATTATTATCTTTTTAATCTGCTTTCGAGATAATAGTCTCTTCTTAGGAGTATAACATTTTAATAGGTTTTCTAGAAACATTATTTTGTATGTGTTTTCCTGACTAAATACAAGGTAAATAATAGAGAGTTTTTATTTCCAAGGAAAAGGCTGGATATAATGTGAAATAACATACTGGACTAGGGTGTGTCTCAGTTCAAGAGGCTCATTAGCAGCAGGACAAAAAACCCAAATTCATTAGCTATTAATTAAAAATCAGTACAGGTCCTGTCCTATGCTGTGGTCCACCTACCTCCTGCCATTTTTGATAAGAGAGGAAGTCAGTTTATTGGGCACAAACTAAGTGCAGGACAAACTCTCTATGATACTCTAAAGAATTGCCTTATTCTAGAGATTTAGGAAATGGAAGGGCAAAGGTTAGTAAAACTTCAGGAGGGGTTGATTCTTTTGATTTTAAAATGTGGCACAGGGTCCCAGTGGCTCACATCTGTAATTCTTACTACTTGAGCAGCTGAGATTCAGAGAATTGGGGGACCGACCCCAGGCTAACTCTACATAATGCTGTGGGCCGGGAGGGAGACAGGGCACCAGACAGACACACCACCAGACAGACAGGCCTCCAGGTGGCATTGAGGAACTAGGAGCGGCCCAAAAGGTGACAGCCGCAAGCAAACAGGGAATTTAATTCTATAACCTCAACAAACTGAATTCTGCCAGCAACCTAAGTGAGTCAGGAAGTGGATTTTTCCACCAGGCCTTAGCCTGGCAACATGGTGATTTCATCCTGTGATGGCTGACTTCCCACTTGTGATACTACAAGGTGGTGATTTCATCCTGTGCCAAGTAAGACCACTGTTCGGATGGCTTAGTTAGCAAGCCCCCTCCCCAATCCAGAAACTTTCTGCCCACGACACCCATGTTTTAGTAACCTAGACATAAATCAAGAACACCAAGTGAATTCTGAATTACCAAGAGGAGACTCATTATCTTAAAATAACAACATTCAAAACAATTTCTTGGTATTAAAAATAACACTTGTTGGTCTAATAGGAGTTGGCCTTTTTTTGTTTAAGCAGGGCACTAAAAATAGGAAAGATGATTACTGGGAGGGAAATGTAATAGAGGGGAGCCAACAGGAAGAACCACAATTAAAGGTGACTTGTTGCTTCAAAGAGCAGCTACAATGGATGTTTGTAGCTAGGCTACCAACTGGCAGAGTTCCTGCGAGCTTCCAGAAACCGACTCTTTGTCCTCAAGCCATACTCTTCAAGTTAAATAAAGTAAGACACCCAGGACTTTTTGGGGACTTCCCTCCAGGGTCCCTGTGAGGTTCAATGTTTCTCAGGTTGGGTTAGAGAAAAAATATTCACAGGAAAGACTCAAGACAACATCGAAATCTGTGTCCCAATGGTGCTGGAGAGGTAAGGAATTCCAATTGTGAAAATCTCCAAATATGTGAACTACTTCAGATCAGTTGGCTTCAGATCAAACCCTCCCCCACCAAAGAATCTTTGTATAGAAAAAAAAAAAAGAGGATCACAGGTCAGGCAATAGTCCTCCTGCTTGAGGACCTGGCTAATATCTGGGAATTTCAGTGCAGAGGCAGAATTTTGACAAACCTGTGACACTGGGTGGAAAGGGATGTGATGTGGATGCATACCCAGGAACGACATAAAACACATTACATGTTGTTCAAATACAGCCTTCGGAATTCCAGAGCAGCCTTGGTCTTTGTATTTGTCAGGGAGTGGTGCGGTTAGATCAGAGCATTAAATACCATTAGGCCAGTCTTCTGAAAGTGGAGGGAAGTCTGCTGCGGGGCTTGGACTTGTTCCTGGGTGACACAGGGCCCAGGCGGATGTGGCACCAGCAAGGAGACACCACTGTGGTCAGCCTGACGCTGTGTCCTGCTCTCCCTCTCTGCCACAGCCCTGGTCTGAAACACCTCACATGACTAACACACAATGCCGCCTGCCACCTGTTCCCTCCTTCAATCCTGGAGCTGCCCCTAAACTGACACGATGTAGTCATTAACTTCTCTTTAGTTGTAATGGGATTTCTGATTTCTCTTCATTATAATGTGCTTTCTCCAGAGATGACAGCTTCTGACAGACTTGCCTTCTTTTCCCTTACAGAGAACAGTCTGATATCTATCTTCAAAGTGGTCCAGACCGGATCGGGAGCACATACAAGAAGGCTCTTTACGTCCAGTACACAGATGGACATTTCAGGACCACTGTGGACAAGCCGAGCTGGCTGGGATTCTTAGGCCCCATCATTAAGGCGGAAGTTGGAGACACAGTTTACGTACACCTAAAAAACTTTGCCTCCAGGCCTTACACATTCCATTCACACGGAGTAACTTACTATAAGGAGCACGAGGGTGAGTTAGACCGGGACTTCCTGTTATTCTTCAGCAGGGAGAATTCTAACTTCTGAGTCTGTGAGCTCTCCATGGGTATGAGCTGTAGGTATGCCATGGAGCTCTAAACCATGTCACCCGCAGGTGTTGTGGTCCACCCCAGCAATACCTGCCCCTCTGGTGCTGTGGTTTGTGTGAAGGGCGCGTGGCAGAGATTTCTGGTGCTCAGATTCTGGGTCACTGAGAGCTGCCTCCACGGTCCAGTGCCTAGCTCCTGCCTAGCTGCATAGACTGAGAGAAATGGACACAGGCTTCCAAACCCAGAGAGAAAGGAGGTGGATTCAGGATGGGATTATCTTTGAAAATTCTACACATGCTGACACAGTCTGCTGTTGCTTCCCATGTTAACTGCAGATGTACTCCTACCCAGCTAACGGGGTAGAAGTCAGTCTTAGGCATTAGCTAAACTGGGCATGCAGTCTTACAGTGTGATACACTGGAGACACAGTTAAGATGAATACAGACTTAGAATGGTCCATGAAGCCAGGGGTGGTGGCACGCATCTATAAGCTCAACACCAAGGAGGCTACGGCAGCAAATTTGAGGTTCATTCTGGGCTACATAGCGAAACTCTGTCTCATAAAACAAAAGAATGCTGCATGAAAAGCAAAGGTAAGGTTTGGTCATCTTGTTTTCTTCTTTTACTTTTTATTGTTGTTTCTTCTAAGTTCAGATTATAGCCCAGCTGGACTTGAACTTGTAACTCCAGCTTCAGCTTCCTGGGGGTAGGATTATAGGTGTGTACCACCATACCTGGCTTCTCTGATCTCACTCTTAATACAGGTCAAGCATTCTCCTTTTTCCAAAATGTTTGGGAACAGAAGTGTTCCAAAATGCAAGTTTTTTTTCAGATTTTGGAAGATTTGTAGACACATAATAAGAACTAGTAAGTCTTGGGGATTGGCTTCAAGAGTAAGCATGGAATTCATTTATATTTCACATATACATAGTCTGAAGCTCAGTTCATTTTTTTTTTTTTTTTGTCGGTTGTGGGGCTTGAACTCTGGGCCTGGGCGCTGTCCCTCAGCTCTTCAGCTCAAGACGAGCACTCTACTGCTTCAGCCACAGCGCCATTTCTGGCTTTTTCTGTGTATGTGGTGCTGAGGAATCGAACCCAGGTCTCATGCATGCAAGGCCAGCGCTCTACCACGGAGCCACCTTCCCAGCCCACTTCTGGCTTTTTCTGTGTATGTGGTGCTGAGGAATTGAACCCAGGTCTCAGGCATGCAAGGCGAGCGCTCTACCCCTGAGCCACCTTCCCAGCCCACTTCTGGCTTTTTCTGTGTATGTGGTGCTGAGGAATCGAACCCAGGTCTCATGCATGCAAGGCCAGCGCTCTACCCCTGAGCCACCTTCCCAGCCCTCGCCATTATCTTTCTACTTCTCTCTGCCACCCCAAGGAGCACCATCTAGGGGGTGAGGACGATCTATTATTGCCTCTGTTTGGTTCAGACACAATCAGTAACTCTGCTGTGTGTTGCTTTCCAGGGGCCATTTACCCTGACAACACCACCGGGACCTTACAGGCAGACGACAAAGTGCACCCAGGGGAGCAGTACACCTACGTGCTGCACACCAACAAGGAACAGAGCCCCGGGGAGGGGGATGGGAGCTGTGTGACCAGGATCTACCACTCCCACATCGACGCCCCGAGAGACATCGCCTCAGGACTCATTGGGCCGCTGATCCTCTGTAAAGCAGGCAAGTCCTCCGGCCACAGCCCTCCTGCCGTGTTCCCACCACACGGCACGGCGTTGGGTGGTTTGATTTTAAATATGTTCGGTGTGCATGAGTCTGGGAGAAAGGAAGGGAAGGGTAGGCTGGCCTCCCAGCCCAAGGTGTACCCAGACCCGCTGTGGTAGGGGACCCACCATGAAGCTAAGATGCGAAGAATCAACTCTTTGGGGATAGGTTTTCAGGATCTAACTTCCCACAGTGGTGCCTCGTGAAGACTAATGACTTCGCCCCAGGTGATGTCTTTCTTGGTTCTCTGGGGTGGTAGGGCTGTAGTGACCTATATTATGTTGGTGGAAATGCCACCTTATTTACTTATAACATTATCAAAAAGGCAATGTATGCAGCTCAAGAGCTAGAAATATCCTGCTTACCTGAGCGACGATGACGTAGCTCAGAAGCCTCAGTGTCTCAGCTATTCAGCGTTGTGTACTCACCTTTGAATTTCCATTTGTTCAGAAGCCTTCGTAGTGGTGTGGACAATGGCTATGTGAATATCTGTCTGTCTCCCAAGCATGAGATATTGATCATGAAATCCCTCAGGTGACTGGTCCTGATTTGTGGCTGATTGAGAAAATAAATGCCATTTGAAAAATGAAAAAAAAAACCTTGAAAACATAGTAACAATGAATAATAATAATTTAATGTGCTAAACTAGAAATGTCCACCTCAGGTTCTCTTCATAAGGAAAAGGAAAAAAACATTGACCAAGAATTTGTGGTCATGTTTTCGGTGGTGGACGAGAATCTCAGCTGGTACTTAGAAGACAACATTAAAACCTACTGCTCAGAACCAGAGAAAGTGGACACGGACAGCGAGGAATTCCAGGAGAGCAACAGGATGTATTGTAAGACTGCAGAAGACATGTTAACACCAGATTTTCCTGGGTCAATTAATGTTTCTTTCCTTGCATGAATTAGTACTGTGTTTCTAGACTGGGACTGATAACAGGGCATCCAGGGCCTCACTGTCCTTCCCTGAATTTCTTCTTTTCCTCCTTCGTATCTCTTTGAGTTTTATTTCCCAATATTAAACTTTTTTTTTTGCCAGTCATGGGGCCTGAACTCTGGGCCTAGGCGCTGTCCCTCAGCTCTTCAGCTCAAGGCTAGTGCTCTACCACTT